ATTTTAAAGAAAATAAAAATCTTTTCATCAACAAGATATTAAGTCAGTGTAGTCAGTACCTAAGATAAGTTAATTCCAAGGGACAACTAACCGTCAATATACCCGTGAGAAATGAAAAAGGAGAAAATAGGAGGAAGTCGACGCTGAGACGTACTTAATACGCTGATAAAGCAGATATTCACTATTTGCTATTGATTTGGGGCTCATATATCTTTTGTGGAAAAAAATTTTTAGACGAGCTGCTTATCCCAAGTAACACGCAAGCTGTATATTCACTGAAGTTAAGATTGATTTACGTTTTAAAGTCAGACTATCACTTTAAATCAGTTTTGACTTAGTTTAAATGCTTTTGAGTAGAATGCGGTAAAATTTACAATGCATGAAGCTATTATATGGTCTAAAAAATTAAGTTAATTGGCTTATAATCATACTAAAACATTAATTACTTTTAATATACAGCACCTTTAACAGCATTTACACTAACACAAAGGTTAAAACCGTATATTAGTAAATAAGAAAACCTAATGCATTAAATAAACGTTGTCGAAATATTCTATAGTGCATTCAGATATATTAACACATTTTACAGATTGAACGCATTTTTATGATCTTTTCTTATGCTTATTTACTGCTCAGCATTAGCCAAACATTTACTAAAGTTTTAGCTCTGTTATCTTCTTATTTTATTGTTACTTTAAAGCTTTTAGCACTATTTAGATAAATAAAAAAAATATTTTATTACTTTAGGTCATAATTTGGCCATAAAACCACGAGCCGTATGATTATATTCATTTGTGCGTTAGTAGGTCCTGTATATTCATTAGAAAATTTATGTCGAACGTGTCACGTTATTGACATGAATAAACAGTGGAAAAAGACTTAAGGCCGGGTTGCACCAACTTACTTTAACAAACGTCAAAAATCTGTCAAACCCCATACAAAAAACATCGGTTATCGTCATAGTTACGGTCAAAGTTAGGTGGTGCAACTCAGCCTAAGAGAACAGGTGGAGTAAAGAGAAAGATAAAGACGGAATATTCAAACTTTATATTTGGTTTAAGAAATGCAAAACGTGTTCCAAAAAATGATACACCTCATACACAAAATACAGTACAATCGGTTGTTGTGTGAGTCAAGAAGTTCCGTAGAACATTCCTTCATCCCTTTCGGTCGTTTGCACTATTTTAAAAGGCATCTGAAAAAAAAACAAATAAGCTTATTTATGACTTAATAGAGAAGTAGTTACCTGAAAACTAAATAATTACCCGTATAACGCATACCCTTAAAAAAACGACTACAGCAACACTACTAACTAGTTACAAAAAGTTCCTTTAAATTATTACTATTACAATGAGCGAAAAATAAGATAGGTAGCTATATCGTGTTTCATTACAAATTACATTTGTAGTGATAATGATTTTATACTTAACACTTGTCAAACTAGGTACCTACCTAATTGGAGACAGATAAAATTGAAAGACGTGGAGTAGGGGATCATGACGTGATTAAAGGATTCTAAATTATTGTTTCGGTACCCTGATTAACACTAAAGCAATCCATTTTTATGACGTTTAAACCTAATGAACATTATAACATACCTAAAAAGTGTTACAGTAATGCTAAAGATATCACTTAGATATTTTATATGTAGGTTGAATGACTTAACCATTTTCTTTTTACTATAATAAGACTGACAACATTAAAAGACACTAGTTGAAAGTTTAAAACATTAATATTATCTGACGCCATTTGCTTTCTGTTTTCTCTAACATAGAAAATAAAATTATAATACACATATGCATGAAATACTACTTATTATCCTTTTCTTACAAGCGGAGTATCGATAGAAGCAATTTTATAAGTTAAAATTAATCAAATCGTTAAAAAAATCACAAAAAGTGTCATATGTCGATTCTAAATTTGTCCCTATTTTATTAAAAAAAGGATTTCTGTGAGGGCGCGTGAATTATAAACCACAAACATATATATATTTTCACATAAGACTAATACTCCCAGCTCATTTTCATTCTTGAAACAAAAAAATATGATACTTACCTTATGATAAATTATTTTAAATAAAGACATTAAAACATCTCCTCACAACACCATTGCACTGCAATACTCTAAACGAAAAATAATCAAATCGGACAATAAAATGCGATAAGTTTTTTCGAATACTTTCAAACAAACAAAATAAAACGTTCAGCCTTAGAATAAAACGTAACTTTGGCATTGTAATTCTGAAAGCTGTTTCAAAGCTGTACTAACATCTAATAAAATGCTTTTTACATTAGAATATGCTGTCTAACAACTTTACTAATGTCTGTCTTCAATAACATTATAAGCGCTGGTTAGCAGCACTAATAATATTTAATAATGCTCAAAGCCGTATTATTTGGGGCCCAAATTGCGCTTACAAGACACTTATAGACTTTTATACGGCTGATATAGTGCTACATATGCTGCTCATATACTGCTCTGCACGTAGGTTCATGCTGTTGTACGCTTCTTATAATTGTGTTTTGTGTTACTTGGGATGCTCTGGTACGTTTACTTTTAGTCAGTCAAATATTTTCTGAAGTCTGCACGCCTGAGGTTTAATGTCTAATTAATATTGGGTATTTTCATATATACAGGGTGTTAGGTAAATGGGTATATGAGCCGACACTAGCCCATGTTAACATGTGCATATAAATGGTATGGTGAAGTCAGAAAATTGATATCATAATTTTAATTATTTTAATTTTCATACAAATCGGATTTATAAAATTTATTTAGTATGAAAATTTAAAAAAATCAAATGATGATATCAAATTTCTGACTTCACCATACCATTTATATGCCCATGTTAACATGGGTTAGTGTCGGCTCATATACCCATTTACCAAACACCCTGTATATCTCATTAAGTCTGGATGCTAGTTTCGTGACCTTGATAGAAAAATAAAAAGTGAGGCATTAATCCAAAAAATATTAACCTCACGATTCTTGAACTGGCACTTTTCTCTTCAGCCACGGTGTTGCATTTTCTCATTTGATTTAAATGTTTAACGTGGCTGAAGACAAATCAAGTAACAAATATATAAACTGACCTAATAATCATCAACTTGCTCAAATCTGTATTTATTTATCGGCACTGGTATAATATATGGACGAAAATGGATATGTGCATCTGTTAATAGGTCGGTATTTTGGTTGGCGGCGATCACTGTCCTGTAATGGACTTGACCTGCTAACGCTTTTGGCTCAATTTATGTTTTTGGCTCATCTTGATCTGACGGGGACTATTCCCACCTCTAGTTCTCGTTCGTGTAGCCTGTGTAGCCAGGATCTACAGCTTGACCGCCAATAAATAAAACCCACCCAGTGAAGGCCAAGTTTGTCCCGGGCCAGGCCAGGGTTAAACTGTCATTGATGGACCCGCAACGAAATTAATCAGAAGAACATAGGAGGAGTTTGAAGTTAAAGTTCGACTTCCGCCCTTTGCAAAGCGGATGACAAGTGACAAACAAAGGTTTAGTAGCCTTTAAGAAAAGACATGCTGATGCTGATGATGCGAGTTAGGCACTGGCAGGGTTGTATCGATTTGTTGCTGAGTACCTGGAGTATTTGATGCAACTGATCAGTATCGGCCACAATCATTGGGTATTAGTAATCCGCAGTCACGTGACTTCTGTATTTTTTGTCACTGTAAGCTTAGGTTCGTTTAATACGGTGAAATGCATTTGCTTTATGAAGTCAAAAAAACTGCAAAGCAATGAAATGTGGAAAGCAATGGGAAAGGAAACGATTTTCCTATGCGAGCACTAAATTGCGGGGTTTTGATGGTTTACTTTTATTACTGTTCTCATGGGCAAAGCTTCAGATTCAGATTGATGCACTCGAGTAAACATTCACATTTTGATCGAAATACTCGTACTGCGAGGTCGGTCAAAGCGTTTCAGATCGAGTAGTTCTAAAATAAAAAGTATGAACATGGAAAATCTTTATTCAATTTAGAATTTTACACCTATAATTAATTGGAGCTTCCTTAAAATATTACATAGGTAATAATGAATCTGAATCTAGTGCATTCTCATAAATAAAGTATTTTTTGTAAGTACCTAGTCGGTTTTTAAAAGATCAACATTGAATTCAAAAATAAATTATACACTTCTCCTCATCACTCGGGATTTCGCAGATATTTTGTTGTAAGTCCCTCAAAGTTAGCATTATGTGGGTACAATCACCCCAAAAAGAAAGTTGGAAAGCTATTTGCACCGTTTAAATAAAGGCCAAATGGCCAGGCTATGAATGGGAAAACATTTGTTGAAAACTAAAAGCCTTAAAAATGACATTGTTTTCTGTTAAACAAAAACCCTATTCAGAAAGTTTGCTGCATTCAGAAACTTTGCTGTTTGTTTGGTATTGATTACTGAATAATTTTGTATTCACGCGAATTAGCTAACAGGTGAAAAGTTTCAATTGTTGGCCATTTGAACTTTATAAGGAAAGTTTAGGGTGTTTTTGTGATTATGTAACTCGATATATGCCTGTAATACTGGATATTTACATACATGATGCAGCCTTGGGCAGTTGAATGTTAATTATAATACATACAAGAATATAAATTAATACATTGCTAGTAGTTAACATCATTTAATGACTATTAGTTATTAGAAAACTCTAAAGATAGAAATTATTGCAGTACAGTGTGAAGTGGGACGAACCGCATAATTTTTCTTCAGCAAAATGTTTTGCCTGTTTGAATAATTTTTTTTTTTTGGTTACCTGGTTGAGCAAACTTATCTGTATGATTTCCGTAGCTGAAGGTTTATCCATCGCTGCCTCTTGGCGCTGTATTTGCCCTGGATAAATTCGAAAATACGGATATCATTTTGGTGAGCAACTATGATCGATAGTTTTGCTACGGATGAGAATGTTAAGGGCTATTATTGCTGAAGAGAAATCATAGTGGTGGCGTCCCATACTATCAGTTTGAGTCGTTGCTCTGCTTGCAGGTAGACCCGGGGCCCGGCGCGGCAGCCGCAGCTGGCACGAGTCATGACGCGGTTCAGGCACTCCAGGTATTTCGTAGGCGGCGCCGCGCGGGAGGAACACTGTCACACGGCACCAAGGCTGAAATGTTACGTTTCCATTGCCATAAAGAATATACTACCACTATACTGACAATCGTGAAGATACGTTTTCCGCCGCTCGACTATTGTGGTAAACCTTGGTAAACCCACTCGTAACACAAGCATATTTAGTTTAGGGCGAGGGGTTAACGGGACTATTAGTAATTTGTGCAACAAGTACCTATCTTAAAAAACAGTTAATAAAATAAACATTATTTTTTACTATGCTTTATGAAGCTATACTCATTCAGTTACAGAATTTCTTTCGATATTTCAGTCATCGTTGTAAAATTCCATTGAAATATTTATACGTCCCGATATGTTTGCTTTGCACTGTGTTCATGGTTAATATAATGACACGCTTAATTCATTAATTATATTATTAGCTTTGCCAGGGACGAAACGATGGCAACGTTACATTTCTGCACTGTAGATATCTGTAAAACAATAACAGTAATTTTAAAATAATTTTATTTCATAAATCTGCCTTGAAAAGCTATTGTGACATTTCATTTCACCCGTGTGATGATTTTTGTTTTTGGTGAACGGCCCCTGGTCTACACCGCGAATTGCAATTGCTTAGTTACATTATTATACATATTATCTGTGGTTAAACATTGTTATTCGGTAAGTAAAGTTAAAGACGGATAGCGATTTAAAAAAGTTGCTTGATTAGTTACGTATTTGGATTTTTTTATCAATCAGGCTTCACTTAGGTCCTACCCCAAAAATATGAATTAGGTTTTATTTCTTTGACTAGTTTTAATTTTTGAGGGCTAATTTGTTTTTGAAACAAAATTATTCCAGCAATGTAAAATACATTATAACTTTACATATTGAATTTCTTTGTTCCATTCACTAATTTCACTAACCCAGCACTTACATTTAACTGGTCATAGTTTAATAGAGGATCACCTATTATTATTAGCCTCAACATCAAGTATAAGATATTATTAAAGTCCGTATTAAAAAACATCGCTCGAAACCATTTTCAATTTCATTCAGTTATTCAGTCCTGTGATCGGATCCACCAATAAAATAAAATAAAAATAGTAAAAAAGACTAAAAACACGCTTTTAATTACTGCACTAAAAGACGAACCCAAACTCGATAAGTTTCCGCCGTTTCGATTAGGAGTTACTATGGACACCGCCTGACTTCATAATCAGGACCCTTGACATCATCTAGCACTAAAGTGCTCGAAAAGACAAATCAAATAAATGAACCCAAACTCGATGCGATTCCGCCGCTTCGTTTAGGAGTTCCTATGGCCACCTTCCAGTCCTATAAAACAAAAATAAAGAAACAGTAGTGTAGAAAATACTTCTAAGAGTATTAAATTTCAGATTATTTATTATTCGTTAAGATCTGTGGTGTTATGTTTTATTCGGAAAAATTATAAAGTAAAAGCGCTTTTAAAGAAAAAGAAAAGTAGGTATAAGATTATTATCAGAGAAGACAAGCAAGATCTTAAAAATTAAGGTAGGTACAACTATGATGAATGAGTAATATACGAGTAAACTAAACAGCTTGAAATTATTTTATAAAATTTCATACACGAGTTGGTACCAACCTACAATAAGTTGTCCACTACATGAATAAGAGAGATTTTATATTGACGAGTACAGCCACGGCCGTTGAGTAACATACTTAATAACACTTGTGTAGACTTGGCCAAGAGTGACCTCGTTATAAAATTAAATGGATCAAACGAAAATAAAGTTAGTATCTAGTTTATTATTATGAACTACACTCAAGAAGACTTGATTCGTGTATACGTGCGGCCCTAAATATGCTCGCGAAACGCATATAAGTCAAGTAAGTCATGAGGCCTGACCCGGTAATGGCCTCTTACTGTTAAGATGTGATATCGCAAAAGGAGGCCCAGGAGCATATTTATTAATTGATGCATTTCATTGAGCCCTTGCTTTATTGAAAGCAAGCGGCAAAATGCAGTTTTTCGTGTAACGTACGAAACGCAATATATCGTAAAGGTGATTCTCTCTCTGCCCAAAGGTTCTCCACCTGACAAAGGCCACTGAAATCCGATCCAGAATTGCTCGCTAATTTTAGAGGGTTAGGGTTCCTTTTATTGGTGCTCGAGGTGGCGTCGGCGCTGCAGAGTGGCGGGACTGCGCCAGGTCTAACGAGCAGATATTGAACGGCGCAGAACTCTATGCACGCCATACTAAGCCGAGCCTTTTTCACATTTACAGGCGAGAGTATTTTGCAAATCAGTGGATACTAGTTTTTAAACGGTTTTCGATATTCGAGAATTAAAAACATAACCCTCCTTCTGGCGCAGTCGGGTAAAAATAGACCACCATTTCAATCAAATTAAAATACAAAAGAAAAAAAAGAATTTTTCAAATCGGTCCAGTAGTTCCTGAGATTAGCGCGTTCAACAACACTTGTTGAAATGATAACCACCCTTTTTTAAAGTCGGTTAAAATAAAAAGTATCTAAGATGTTGACTGTGGATATAAGGTATCGACATGCAAAATTTAATTGAAATCGGTCCAGCCATTTCGGAGATTAGCCCGTGCAAACAGAGAAAGCAAAAATTCTAAAAAAAAAATCCCCCTGACTTGTTTTTAAGCATTTTTTTCCTATGTTCCCTCTACAATTTTATTATATGTATAGATTAGAAGTTTGTAAAAGATATATATGTATACTAGCTTTTGTCCACGGCTTCGCCTGCGTGAAAAGTTTGTCACAAATCATTCTGCCTATATGCCTAGCCTATAAGGGAGAGTCCGCTAATTTGGACCAGTTTTTTTCAATCCCATTTTACACATAGTTTTCTTTTGTTTTTGCTAATGTCCATGGTATATAATAAAAGATACATTATTCAACTTACTATTTCATAAATATTAATTAACATGATTGTTGTAGCTGGCTGCTTTTGCAGTGAGAAAGATAAGGCAATTAACTGACATTGAAACGGCAAGGCTAGTATATTTTAGCTATTTTCATAGTATAATGTCATACGGCATATTGTTGTGGGGCTCAGCCGCGGACATTGAAACTGTGTTTGTTCTGCAGAAGAGAGCAGTGCGGGCCATTTATAACCTTGGACCCCGATTTTCCTTGAAAGATTTTTTTAAGGAAATAAACATACTGACAGTAGCTTCACAGTTCATTTATGAAAACCTTTTATATGTCCGCAAAAATATAGAGCAATTCACGAAAAAGAGCGATTTGCATAACTTTAATACAAGAAACAAAAATAAACTTGCCGTTCCAAATTTCAGATTGCATAAGATTGGTAATTCATTTATGGGAAAATGTATTAAATTCTTTAATAAATTACCACAAACTGTTGTAGAACTACCCATTCATAAATTCAAAGCACATATTAAAAGTACCTTAATGAAAAAGGGCTACTATAAAGTCGATGATTATTTAAAAGATAAAAATGTTTGGGATACGTTACTGCCTAGCTCGCATAAATATTTATAACTTTGTACATTTTAAAGCATGTAAACCTTTGAAAAAGAGGCTGACAATAGTGACTGAGTTTCTTGCGCTGCTTCTTCTCAGCACTGGCCCATTTATTGTCCTGAAGCAGTGGTAGGGTTAATACTGGGACGTGTAAAAGTGCTTTTTTTAAGCCTATTTACAGAAATAAATGAGTTTTAATGAGTTTTTATTAGTTTTAGTTTTTTAATGAGTATATTTAGCACAAATCAACGAAGTACGAGTTCAGAGCTTCGGTCCAATTTAGCCAACCGGTTCGATAATTTGTACCACAGGGTTACTAAATTAGATTTCAATAAAGAAGAACGGTCACGCCCCATACAAAAAAAACCCAGACCCGACAGAAACGAGACATACCTCAGTTTTTTTGTCATGTCTTAATTAGTTAAATTATATATTTTTTATATTCGAAATCTATGTATAACACCAAAATATTACCCTTTGTTTTTGTTCAGGCGTTATACAAAAACTAATACAAAATGCCTTTTTATCACCAAAATTGGTAAATGTATGTACCTAAATGTCTATTACAGCTGCTATGGAATGTATCTAGGTGATCTAGAGTTACAGGACCGGATTATATAGGGTGGTTATACATGTGGAACCATAATGATCTCACTCGAATATTTCTAAACTATACAAGATATCGAAAAACTAGTTACTGGTTCTGAAAGTGCTTCACGAGCACTTTCAAATGGTGCCAATAATAGGTTACAGATTATGGAAGCTGGTAACATTGAATTTTTGGATGTTGTAACTTCTCGTTTCCACCCTGTATAATCCGGCTGTATCTCCAGGTCACCTAGATACATTCCATAGCAGCTATTTAGGTACATACATTTACCAATTTTGGTGATAAATAGGCATTTTGTATTAGTTTTTGTATGACGCTTGAACAAAAACAAAGGGTAATAATTTGGTGTTATACATAGATTTCGAATATAAAAAATATATAATTTTACTAATTAAGACATGACAAAAAAACTGAGGTATGTCTCGTTTCTGTCGGGCCTGGGTCACAGATGACCGTTCTTCTTTCAAGCCTATAAAAAAACTATTAGTCCAGTCAATAAAGCATTATAGATGGAAAACTGTAGAACACAATTTCTGACTTCAGGACTTTATTCTGACAAGTTAGGAGGTGAACATAGCAAAAGTCCCCGCCCTTAGCCCTTGCGCCGGCGGGGAGAGGGGGGTTTAAAGGTGCCACTTTTCGGTTTTTCACTTAATCCTCGGAAACTATGCGTCCTAGTGACATGACTACTTTGAACCAAAAAAAGCATATTCAATTTGCTACAGGTGAGATAGACAAGTTTTTCTATAAATTGTATAGTTTTCGCGGCATCTGCTCTAGAATGTCTGTAATATTGGAAATTTTATTTTTGTCTTACATGTTTCTATCAGGAGAAAATCGACTAAATCAACATTGAGCAATAATTCTAGACATGCGGGAGCATGTTAAGCATAGT